TGGATCCTCAGGCGGATGGTGGAGTTCAACCGCACTTTGCACTTTGAAGGTGCGAAGCGCATACCAAACAATGCTATCACTTCAGTAGGGCTTTTCAAGGTTGATTGCGCCGCCGCATCATGGTCAAACAGCAAGCCGATATCGTCCGCATACTCAAGGTCAACCAATTTTTCATCAGACAGGACCTCAAATCCAGCCTCGTGAAGCTCCATAGGGAAACTCTCTATGATGCTGTAAACGACGAAATTGAACGAAATGGGGAAATTGCACAAACCTGATGAAAGCCACATGTTGTTGAAAAGCTATCCGATGGATCGCCTTAGATCCTAACGCGGCCTGTAGTGTTCGAGTATCTACCACGTAAACTGTTCACAGGTTTCATATGAACAAAGTTCCACGCGAGTATTTCGAGAAAAATGCATCAAGGTGCTAACTTGAACGCACTCTTGAAATCAAGGAACACAGCAGTTGTTGATCTACGGCACATTGGCTGCTGCGCTAGCACCTGTCGTAGCTTGAATATATGGTTTACTCAGCCCTATGTAGGGCGGAAGTCTACCGGCACTTCCTTAATCCAAAATCCTCGTTCTGCAGCAAGAAGAAAAAATGGATTGATGCCAGTACTATTGTCACTACCAACATTAGGCTAATATTCTTGTGATTAGCAAATCAGCGCGACCGTCACCGTTGTATACTGTTACAATAATTAATTCAATTCAGGTAGTCGGGACAGTATCCTGCTTCTAGGTCAGTGATTTGCCAAGGACCTCATATGCATCCTTAAATAGTGAGATGGGAGAAAATCCAGGCAGGAAGAACAAAACTTTTAAAGGCGTTGATCGCGCTTTGTAGCTTAGCATCCGATGGATCCAGTAAACCAGCCGTCTACGGCTTATGCTACATCACCTGTTTAGGAAGAGGACCGAAATCAGGGTGCCAACTGAAAAGATCCTGTAATAGTTCCGTCAGTCGTGCCATACGGCGCTTCTAATTGTACATCAGTGCACCTGTGCTATCTTCGATTGTTTCACCTACATCTGGTTTACTTGGACCAGTGATGCGGATCAGTTAGAGGAGCACGCGATAATTGCCTACTGCTCCCGCCTCCTTCATTTCCTGAGCATGACCGATCTACCAGGCTTCCTATTCAACACGCTGGCTTGGATTTGGTGCCCATTTAGTAAGTGCCCTGGTCACTTAGGGTACATAGCCAGCGATGGATTTTCTTCTTGATTCAGACGTGCTTAAGAAACTCTGAGATATTCAGTGACTAGTGCGGTGACGATTGATAGTGCAGCAAACAGATGCTACTGCGTCATGCATGGCGGCCGATAGACTATTCCATTTAGGCTGGTTGTCATTAGGACAAGGGAGCGGAAGTTCGGTACTCAGTGTAGATTGATAGGGTTGTCTGACAAAAGGCTGATAACTTCTCAGTTGCTAATCGGGTAGACATTCGGTGCGCCTCGCAATAAAGTTCATGGAAAAGGACAGCAAACCAATGCATGATCAGTGTCAACGCAAGTACTCTAGGAAGAGCAACAATCCTACATGGAATCGCACCACCTGTTATTTATCTCAATGTGATCTATTTGGGTCCATCGCTGGCCTGCAGCGGGAGGACGCCGGGTGACAGTTCAATCTCCAGTGTGCCTAAAAGCTGTGCTACTAAGCAACAACTGCGGCTGCGTAAACAACTGCGAAAGACGTTCCACGTTGTCAGTCCTTTCGGATTTAAGCCAATAATTCCCACCTGGATAAGCGACTGAAGAGCTTAGACGCTCTACTTGTGTACTTATATCTCCTGCAATTCTTGTGATGTCTGAAACGGTAGCAGTGCGTAGTAGTTTGTTCAGGTCTTGTAAAAGGTATTCTTAGCAGCATCAGAACTGCGGTCGGTGAGAGCATAAGCGGAAACCACGACCAAATCGTGTCGTACTACCTCATGAAGCAACCTTAGTTGAAGTGTTCAGATGATCTGCACACAAACGGCTGTTCATCGGAATCCAATCAACCATGATTCAGCCTTGGAGCTGGTTGCAATACCTACCCGCGCTTGACCGCTGACTGCTGCATCAGCGTCTTCGGATCCATGAAACAAACTGCGACAGGATAAGCTGGGCGCAGTTAATTTAACAGCCCCGTAATGACCATTAATCCCAAGTTCGGAAAGGTAACACACTTCAATACCCAGTGTGTCCAACGTGCTTGCTAGTGCAGCATGTTGAATTATTTGTCTTATAGTCCGAATATTGAGCGCCGTCAGGGAAGCGACACAGCCTGGTCTCAGAAGAGAATGTTGGTGATAGGCAAGCAGTGTATGTTTCGCGAAGATAGCTGCAGAGTTGCTCAGGCATTATTATGATATAAATTAAACTGGAAATTATAGAAGGTAGATTAGCAATGTGGGTTGGCTGGGAGTAAGAAACATGTGGAAATGAAAGGAAAGACGCGCAGAAGTAACGTCTTTTCACTTCGTAGATAATGCCTATAGGAATGCAAGTAACACGGTTGCAGAGATCTATTTTTCGCTAACTCACATCAGGCAAATACGTTTACAAGCACAAATGGGATATTTCTAAGCTAATAAAAGCTGGAGCGAAAGTAGGGGTGAGTCTGAATTTATTCGGAAGGAAGTTAAATTGATCGGGCCAATTGGTAAATCCTGTGTTACCGAGGAAGGCTGAACTTATTTGACCCTACTTGACATAGTTCGCTGACTTGGCTTGTCGAATTACTGGAACCCGTACGTAATGCACTATACATACGCTTTATAAGAAACACATCTAAATTGGTTGGAAAAGTTAATGACTTAAAGGGAGACGGTAAATTGATGCTCTCATTTGATGTGAAATCACTTTTCACCAACGTCCCGTTGCTAGAGACCGTCAACTTTCTTTGCGAATACATAACTGAAAAACAAATAAATGTTGATATTCCAGTGCCGAAACTAAAGGAACTAATACTGCGATGCACCTTTAACAGATAGTTCCTGTTTGATGGAATTTATTATCGGCAGATTGATGGAGTCGCTATGGGTTCGCCCCTAGGGCCTCTCAATGCAGACGTCTTCCTCGCAAAGCTTGAACGTAGTTCTAGCTAACCTGTTATTGCTTCACTGGATTTATACTGCAGGTATATGGATGACACATTCGTTCTCTGTGATTCGAGCGCTGATTTAGTTGGTTTACTCGATCAACTCAACGGTGCACACCCATCAATGAAGTTCACCAATGAAACCGAAAAAGATGGGAAGCTATCGTTCCTGGACGTACTACTGATGAGACGGGAAGACGGCTCTCTTGAGAGAAGGGTCTTCCGGAAGGATTCTTGGGTTGGACAATACCCACACTTTCTGAGTTTCCTGCCTCTGAGGTATAAACGTAACTTAGTCCGCTGCATGTAATACCGAGCATCCACAATCTGCAACCCGGAGACACTAGCAGATGAGAAAGAACACATATTTACTACCTTTCTCTCAGACGATTATCCCTCTTCTTTTATCAAAAGACATTCTGTTGTTTGTGAACGCAAGGAACCCGTCATCACGGTTCCTAAAATTGATTTGTTTCTCACGGCTCCGTTTAAGGGTGACATCGCTTTCGGTCTACTGAACAGAAGACTTTCCGCTGCAGTGACTAGAACATACCCAGCTGCAAATCCACGCCTTCTTGCTGAGACCAATCTATTTATTACTCAGCACTTTAAGGACAGGTTACCGGCCAAATCTGAATCATACGTGGTATATCAATTTAGTTGCACCTGTGGTGCTAAGTACCTCGGACATAAGACCAGGCGTCTGTCAACCAGGATAGCTGAGCCCTGTCCCGGGTCCCTACGAAAAAGCACTGCCGGAATACCAAAGGTTCCATCCTTTAACATCTGATTAAAGTGGACACGAAATTCTGACCAATGATACTTTCAACATTTTATACACCGTGTCAAAACGTTACCCTAAAGGGATTAAAAGACGCCTCCTTAAGATTGCGGAATCGATAGCAATCAAGTTAACGCAACCTGAGCTTTTCAAGCAGAGGATGCCACTGCAATCACTCAGACTGCCGTGGCCGTGATAAGGAAACATACGCATGGAGCATTGATGAGACCAAAGGTGATATCACTTATCTGCTGACCAAATTTGCTTCGCGAAGTGGTCAGCGAACTGAGTCTAGTGGGGTCAAAGTAGGTCAGCATTCATCGACAACAAATGCTATAACAATTTGCCCGATCAGGTTAACTTCAGTCTGAATAAATTCAGACTCTCCCCTACTTTCGCTTCAGCTTTCATTAGCCTATAAGTATCCCTTGTATGTTTGTAAATGTATTTGCCTGATGTGATTTACCGAAAATAGCTCTCTTTGCAATCGTGTTATCTTTTCACTTATCGGCCCTGCTGGATGCAGCGGATAAGGCGACCGTTTGATAATCTACGCGACGACCGAAATATGAAATGTTTGGCGTTTGAAAAAATAACTACGATGAGATACTGCCAGGGAAAGCAGACCTAGACAGAAGAGCGATTTGGGTCCGACTAAAATACCCGTCCACAATGCAACGTGGTTGTGGCAATGATTACGTTTTAAGGAATGGGTGCTATACCATTCCATACCCAACCTGGAGGACCAGGTGACTGCGTTTGCCAAACCACCATCCATTACCCGATGTAGTTATGGTAGGTCTCGGGATGCCCTGGGGCACCACACAGTATATTTCAAGGAGTCATCGAGGTACGCAAACCGTCGCACTACGTTTAGGTCCAGTCTCGGTAATACTGGAATTGTGTCGGTGATGTATTTATGTTTTGCTGTTTGTCTTATACTACAGAAAAGCAGCTTACCGCGCTGTCGTTTGCTTTGGTTTCACTGATACTGTAAATACGCCAAAATGTTTAACGAATGCCTGTGTGGGTTTATTCAAATCGGCATGTAGTTCATTAACTTTTGTTATTTGTTAAAGAATAACTTTATTTGTTTCTCCGACATTGCTTTTCACCATGTCAGTCGATCTTGAAAGCGAGGAATCCAACAATGAATCCCATTCAATTACTGCGGCCTTTGAAGGCTCTGTTTATACTATCAATTTCGTGGATACATCAGCCGAGAGTTTTGAGCAGAATTTGGTGAGTAATAATAGTCAGTTTCTGTTCTGTCATCAGTTATTAGGCAAAATCCTTTAATCCTGTAATAAAAAAATAATACAGGATTCTCCAAATTCAACTTTACAGGTAACTTTATTTGAGTCCTGGCAATAAATATCCAAATAAAATAAGTCTCCATATTAAAGACGTATTAGTTATTAACGCCTAGTCAGGAGTCAAGCATAAATAAGATTTATAATGCGTTCTTAGAGATGGTTGCGCGACATGGTTACTTATTGTTAAGTGAAAAGTGACGTCGTCTTCAGCAGGTGGTGTTCCTGAACTCTACTTATTCAGACGTTTCACACTGCAACTAGATCCACATAGCTGCATGCAATTTTCTGGTCTAAAACTGTGGGTCACCCTAAGAGTCAGATTTTGGTCGAATAGTCAGCTATAGGAAATCTAATACCAAGTGCGTGTTTGGGCCTGCGTGAAATATTTGGTAGATTTAAGTTAGTAGGGTAGCTCAGGTTACCTCTTGATTATCCATAAAATAAACTCCGGATTCTAAATTATTTAAACCTAGTAAAGTAAACCGATGTAACTGGCGGAATACGTCATCATAGTGTCAGTGGGTTTGGTCTAGATGCAGAGATATTTGCGTGGCGGCAAGCAATAACTATGGGCTGTTTAAAATGTTTCGGAAAGTGGATAGAATTCGAGGGATGCATATTGAGTATGGCGTTTTCAATAGTCACCTGCAGGTCAATCACAGATGAATGACTTTTCAGTAAGATTGCACGCTGCATCTCACTTCACTGAGGACGCCATATCGCATGATGATGAAAAGTTTGTAACATAACTGCCACGTTCGGAGGACAAATAATCAACTCTATCTATCGGTTGGGTAAAGTGTGCTATTCCATTTTACCTAAACAGTTTTTTACTGATGTGTACTAAGAAAATGAATGTTTAACCGTGTATTTTTTACTACAGGAAATCCAAGTACACGACTGTATAGATGCATTCATTGTGGTATATGCAATTGATGACAGCATGAGCTTTGATGCCGCCAGATTGATCATCCAGGCTCTTGTCTCCGTGTACAACTCAGACCCGTCACCAAGCTTATCTTCTAAACCCAACCAGATGAAACAAGCTCCAGTTCCCGTCCCCATATATTTGGTTGCAAACAAAACAGACCTTGTTCGTGGGCGTCAAATATCCAGTGAAGGTAACTGAAAAAGTGTATTATAATAATTCCTATAGTATGTGGAAAAAAGGTTATGTTGTCAAATCCTTCGTATGACTTCAGAGGAAAAAGTGAACGAAGATCTGGTCACAGAAATATATTTATATGGTTTTAACAATTAGAGATTTGATATAACACTTTAAACTAGGTCGAAATAGGTATTGTAATCAGAATATATTTCAGTACTCTTTCATCTTACAGTTCCCCGAGCAAACGATTATAAAATTTAGGTAAAATAAGTTATTATAGTGTTATTGAATGTTTTTCTCAACGGATTTCAAGTTAGTTAGTTCGCCAGTAACACTGTAAGGTGTCAAATTGTCGTTTTGCCATGTCGGACTTGGGGAGTATCCTGAATCCCACGGCGCCATCATGAAAGGAACTTTTTACTTGTCTATATACAAAGCTTGTTTCGCAGGTTAGTTTGTTCTTACGGAATAGCAAATTTTAAACTCCTTGAAATAAATTCACTTAGGCGAATTAGTGAGCGTTTTGTTGGCAAGTTAACAATAGTTTTTCGTGAGTATATATTTAAGTAGCCTTTTGCTTGAGTCTGGTATAATTGTAAAGGCAAATGTTTGAACAGCAGCTCATAATTGGACATTAAAATGTGCATTATATATGTATATATGCATGCTGATAGTAGTATGGACAATTGTTAGCCAAGCAATATGCACTGTCCAACCCAAATAGCATTGCGGTAGACACTACACTCAAGTGATCCGTCGTCGCGCCTCATAAACAAAACTTCCAGAAAAGCCAGTTTGCCTTCATTTTCCATTTCAATAGTGAACTTTATTGAGGGATGTGCACTGCTGAAACTGGTCGAGCACATGGTTGACATCAATGCGAGAATCACAGATGATGAACTGTCATCCAGATAACACAAGCCAGAGCTATGCAAGCATAGGGTGCTTGAGCAACCCTTGACTTTGCCATGACCCTGATGATAAGTTCCCTCCCGGAGTATTACGCATAACCGGATGCTATTTATTTATGTAATTAACTCCTTTTTATATTGTTATTATTTTTGCCCTTTCTGTTTAGACAAGTTATTTTGCTGTCGGTTAGAGCTATCAGGATGTCACCTGATTAAATCGATTTGAGCATCAAACGAACCTGCTAAATCAGTTCAAACCTTCCCACCCATCCTTAGTTTTTCCTTTACCAGGTTACTGTAGCATTTATCAATCATATATTTGCAATAGCCTTATGTGAACTGCGAAAATATATTTCTTTTTATCGTTCTGTTTTAAGCCTCTCATATTTAATGTTAAATATTTGGTCAGTTATATCTTACCAGGAATTGAATATGACAAGCGGCTTCTTCCCAACCGAGCGCAGATGTGCTGTAATTATTTTAGTTTTCATTTGAATATGTTCATTTATACTACAATCTATATCAGTCCCATATAAGCTTATTCAAATATGGATTTGACGGCTAGTCATTTCGTTTAAGTAGCTTTATCAGGGTGGACGCTAGTGCAAAAAACCCATCTACTTTGATTGGATTGTATTTAAACAGATATTTACTTGGTTTTTGGCTTCTGTTTAATGTTTGCTGATGGTCATTGATTCGAACTTTTTTCCCATTATTAAAGTTGACAGCACACACAGATTTATCTCCATAAATAGATATTCTAGGCCACCTGGTCACAACTAACATCTCAATGGTCCTGCGTTTGATGCCTCTTAACACTACCTTAGTAGAATTATTTATTTTCAAACAAAGCATAATGATGCAGTGTTTTCAGGCGGGTTGCACCCCACTTCTATCTGCCTCATCTGCGGTCCTCATGATCCAAATACCAAGATTGACTTTACTACGAATGGCGGTCAACATTTTGGTAGCCGCCGCGATCCATCTACACAACGTGTAATACAGAAATGCCCTCAATATCAAAGAACCACCATTGGGCCAAGTGTTGTTCGTCTTAACCCCTTTGACTTAGGGTTAGCGTTCATAACTAACATACCCATGGTCCCGGGTACGATACCTGCTAACTATCTGATGAAAGGTAATAACATAGAAACGCCCCATAAGAGTGCAGTGCTTTTAGGCTGGCAGCACCCAATTTCTAGCTGCAATCCCTGGTATTAACTGGTCTGGTTTTAAGACAAACTAGTCAGTTCCGTGTAAACAATATTTATGTCATACATTAAAGCGGTTTTAAAATATTGGTCGCCATGATCACAGATAGTCTAAATAATTAAGCTGATGGGAGCTGGTTGTAAGCTTGCACCTAATAATCGACTTTTGTGACAGGTTTTGGTATTTCTTTACCACGAGTTCCGTCACTTACATAAATTAAACATACTCCATCATGGCTTGGCTCCTGAAGGAACGTCATTTAGTTCAGGTGCCGAAAATAAGATAACAAACTAGCCGTTTGCTTCTATTTATCTCTAATTTGTCTGGAACGATAGTTGGAACGCTGTTGCTAACCCATCGTCAAATGTTCATCGCGCCCTCATGGGATAAGTTAAACACAATTAATTGAGCTGAATTTAACTTCAATCGCATGCCTTGAAACTCAAACATTTTAGTCGGAATTACCTTTCTATTTAACTTAAACCATGTCACCTGCAATTTCACACATGTTTAACTACAGATAAACACTGCATGTTTACCTCGTTTATCTCATAGATCACCCTGTTAACCAAAGCGTGTTCGGGAACTGACCTTTCCACTTAAATACAAGGGGCTGTTTGAGGTGAATGGTAAAAATAGAATCACCGATGTATCAGGGTAGAGAGCTTTTTACAAATGAACAGCCAATTCATGTTATCTGGTTTCAAGAGAAGGCTTTAATACCCATCGATGCAAAATCGTGGTGAGAAAGATCAACTTCTCATGGAACAAAACCAATTCTTCCTGGGCGATTTTCCATTCTTAAAGGCACACGCATATGGGACACAGCTTTTCGGCAATGAATAACTATGCAGTGACAGCTTATAGTTTAATAACGCCAACTCGTCTTCCTTAAGATTTTAACTATGTGTGTTATCTGAGCTTCAACCACTCGAATAAAACACTGTGTTTAGCTTAGGTTAGTAAGTTCATTAAGCACAATAAAGTGCTAGAATGCAGCTTCTTAATTGAATCTTTTATTATGTGTGTACGCGCTAGACTCTATGGGTGCGAGTAAGTTGAGCAATTTTCGTTCAGTTTGAGAAAACAACATCAAAATACTTCTATCCTGGTTAGTTTCAGATACTAAAGCTAACCATCGAGTGATAAGTATTAATTAACACCATCTACCGGATAGTTAGTGTTCATCTTAATATGGGAAAAGCGAAACATAGCCCACCAATTGCTTAAAGTCGAACCTCCACCAAATGGAAAGAGTTAGTCTTATCAGCCTTCACATGTACTGTCAACTTGATAAGGTCTCAGACAGAAATACTGATTGTCCTTTGATGTATATCACAGTTGTCGTCATTCTCTTTCAATCTTTTTTAAATGTTACTCAATTTATTTCCTGGGACGATTGTTTTAACAGTGCCTTTGATGGACTGCAACATTTTCCTGTTTGTATCACTCTACAGATGTCCTGGAACTATGAACAGTGATTTACCATCACCCGACAACCGTTTGCCGCTTCAAGAATACCTCAACCACTTCACTGTATACTCTATAGACCTCAGGCTCACAGTTATCCATTCAAATTAATAATTCTGAGCTTAGGGAAGGGTGTGGACGACCAAACCGACACATTTGAAAAATGACTATTCGCACTAATGTTGCGATTTCCTTTCTGTAAATGTCACTTAAATTGTGCGTGATTTTGGTGCTCAAACGAAGCATCTGCATACGGTTAGCTGAGATCTTCACCCTTCTAGTATGTTCCATCGTACAGTCAATTCTCGCCCGTCTACTGTCCGATCATTCGAGGAGCGGTCTAGAACAGGGAACGAGTTCAGAGCGCCACTACCAGTCTCTTTCCAATTTCGCGCTGTGTACCGTTAGAAAACCGGGCTGCGACTGTACACCCTGTCACATCAATAGTAGTGAGTCAAATGCATCATGACTTATCGTATCGTGCAGCTACATAAAATCTCCTGTTGAGGTCACAGTGCTAACAAGAGAAGCCATCATTACGTACGAATATCAGTGTCAGAGCTCAAGCAAATTCTCCTACGACAATGCTTTGAAAGACAATTGGTCAGTCTTTGAAGCGGTTTACCAAAGTATGTAGTGGAAGTGAACTCAGTGCAAGAGCTGAAAACATGTTGTGGTCAAATTTATCCTCTGTTAAGTTCCAAGAATGATTACTTAGTGATAATGACATCTCACATATACGTGTCACAAGTTGCTTCGCGTTATACATGCTTTACAATATCAAGGGATAAGTTGAAAAACAAGCATTTTGCTACCGTGCCATTGGTGCCTTTCGCTGTTTTTAACATTCCTGATTTCCTTTTGTTAAACCTGTAACTTTGAATTGTTATCAAATAACACAATGCATGTTAACTCTTTACTTTAATCATGAGTGTCAGAGTGAATATGAAAGTTTGGGATATTGGTCGCGCTTTCTAAACGTCCAATATATATCAGTTTTCACGCTGAATACTTTTGGAGGTTACAAGGACATAATATAGAGAACTAATGGTAAACCTAAGATTGAATTGAGGTGATAATGATAACATTTGTGGTATTCATTTTCCTAAGCGCTAACTCTTGAAGTGTTCAATAGGAAGCGTAAGAAAGACCTATGGCAAGAATGTGGAAGTGAAATACATCTGAACATTTTTCTGTGCTTCTCTCCGAGCACTAATCTCACCTGTGGGTTTATTAAGGTCAGAGAAATCCCACAAGTTGAAGGGAACTTCATCCAACTCGGGCGAAGTTATGTGTAAAAGAATGAGCTAGTGGTTATGTAAGAATGGGCAGTGAAGGAGTGATGTCAAAAAGAAGTCGTGAAGAAGAGCCCGTTGAGACTCTTTTCCCTGGGTTGCGTAAAGGTTTGTTTTGTGTTGGCAGCAGGCT